GAGTCAAACAGCTCACATATGTGGGAGAAGGCAAAGGTGATGACAATAAAATATTAAATAATATGAGCACAAAATGAATATCAAGAAGCAGGGCCGGCCCTGGGGTAAGCCCACCAAGCCCCGGGGCTGGGGCAACCCAGGGCCGGGGGGCAACTAGCGGGTGGCATACATACTCCCATGGGACCTCGCCGGAGTCGGAGGCAGTGCCGCCGCCTCATCCACCCCATGCGACCCTCTGGAACTCTCGCAAGTGATCAGGTGACGAAGAAGAAAAAATCTCTTTCTATTGAATTTTTGTATTTTCCCCCTCCTAATTCATGTTTATTTATTATCATCGATTTGATTTGCAAAAAAGAAAATTGATGGAGGGTGTTTTGTGTGAGGGAATTGGGATCCGATCGAGGTGATTGCTTAGCTTTACCGGCACGAACTGGGACCCAAAGATATCTGCCCTATCTTATTATTATTGAGCCTAGGATTCAATTTCCCCTTTTTTGTTTCTTTATTATTATTATTAATATATGTATGTATGTGGCAACATGCAATTAGAACTAGTTTTATATTTATTTACATCGTTTTGTGACCTAATTCAGTTAGATATTTTATGTGACCAAGCAATATGTTCGGGGGATATTGATTAAAAGGAAATAGGAGAAGGTAAAATGAAGGAGTAGAATGCGAAAGAGGCTAAGAGCGTGTTTGGGAATTATGGATTGTAATACCACTTGGATTATAGTCCTGCAAGTGTTTGGTAAGTTTAGTAGGTTATAATCCGTTTTCAAACTTTGACATTTTCTTCTTCGTCACCTGATCGCTCTTCAGATCCTTTCAAACCCTAGCCTCCATTGCCACCCAAACCCTCAACAAGAGCGCTCCTCGACCGCCGGCGGCTAGGGTTCGGCTCTCGCCGGAGGAGCAAGGCTAGGCCGAGCACCGAGCGCTGGCGGGTGGGAAGGAGGCGACGGTGATCGAGTTCTACTCGCCCAAGTGCAGGCTTTGTAGCTCCCTGCTTGATTTCATGCTTGATTTGGAGGCCGAGAATGAGGATTGGGTTCTATTTGTGCTTGCGGATACCGAGAACGAGAAGTGGCTCCCTGAGGTTAGTTTCCTGCTCGATTTCTGACTGCTCGGTTGTAAAAGGGAGCTTGACCGCTCTGAGTAAAAGGAGAAGAATAAGGATTGGTTCTTTGATTGAGAAAATTGGAAGGGATTTATTTGGAAGGAAAGACACTTAAATTTGTTTTTGAATCTATACAAATTTTTTTTTAAACTTAATTAAATTTTACTTTAAAATAGAGTTGGGATGTGTTTAGTGATAAGTTTAGCAAATATTAATGGTTAGAAAGTTATAAATTTAATCACAAGGGAACATTCAGTTAAAATTTTTGACGTTTACATGATTCTGAGGATAGTAACTGCCAAGTTTGAACAACTTGCGGTGTTTATTTGCCACAAAAAAGAACTCATAGTATCTAAGTTCTAAAACGGGTATAATTTCTGGTATTTAAGTGTCATTTAGCCTTTGTGAAATGTGTCAATGTTACCACTTTAGCTTTATCTTCTGCTTGGAGTAGTGATGCTTTACCAAATGTACCTTTTTTCTCTTTATGGTAGACCCTTTGTCGCTTCGGAGAAAGTTTTGAAGTTTTTGCTCTACTGTTAAAAGAGCTTATATTACAAGAGCAGCAAGGTTTTCTAACTGACAAATGCCCTTTTTTAAACTTGTGCCGGGATAATTTCTTCCCATAATTCATTTCCCAGAGGCACACAATTGTTAAAAAAAAAACTTTCAAAACAGGGATAATCGTTCGTACCAAATTTTTAATATAAGGGGCAATCAAAATTGGATTGGGCTAGGGCAACCCAAATCTCGGGGCCGGCCCTGTCAAGAAGGGCCTGTAACAAAAGTAGGACATGGTTCCAAGTCGAAAACATGTGTGCCATGAATAAGCTTAAAAGAAAAGACTGACAAATGATGAGAATCAATTAATGTTAGAAAAGTTAAAACTAAAGCTTTGTAATTGAACTCCTTAAAAAAGAGGTTCCTGTTTAGATCAACTGAAATGAAGGCAAAAGTTGTATCATGATCTCCACCCATCACTTAGGAATTTTATAGCCAGATTTTAGTGTGAGGATTACTACTTCTAATTCTCCACGAATTTGAGAAACTTAAGTATTGGAAAATCCATGGAAAGATTGGTGAGCTAAAAGCAAACACCCAGTTCTTTCATGCCATATACGCCAGGATAAGACATCTTGTAATCTCTAGCATCATATTAGCATTTCCATATCATGAGTCGATTCGATCATTCAAACATAACATTAAAAAAGTTTCAGCGATCCTCCATAAATTTCTGAATAGCAAATTTAAAGAATAATGAGATATTGTTTTAAATTGTTAGATAGGCATTCCTATCAAGACGCAAGGACTTTTGATGAAAGACTCTGTCACGAAGTCCATTCCACGTGTTAATCTATATGAATTCAAGGAAATGTTTTACTATTAAGAATGATTCAATTTGACTATTTAAAGAGGTGCAGTGAGATAGGATATAAGATTACCAAATAAATAGAATCTGTGGTTGCAAAAACAAAAGGGTTACTAAACTATCCAAGGGAACTCCTTTGCACGTATAAACTAAATAAATAGAATCTGTGGTTGCAAAAATAAAAGAGATCACAGGCGACTAAACTAAACTTACTTTACAGTCGCGATTTAGCTGCTGTTTGTATTTTTAAACGCTTGTTAATTGAATCTGTAGAAAATCGAAAAATAGGGCAAAATTATTAGAATAAAATAAGAGAACTGAAAAACTAAAATGGGATAGTGTGAATTGAGCATAACTAAAGCTTAGATCTAGGGTTTAGTACACCTACACAAGTTCTCAATCAAGCTAGCGTACTGCTCTCCCGAATCCCCAATTAAATCAGTTAATTTCCCAATTCGAACCAAAAAAACCCTGTAAATTCAATTTAAAGGTTGAGAACTAAGAGCTTTCCTGACCTCAGCGGACGGTGAGGGCTTGTTCGCCGCCGAGCAACGAAAAGTTCGAGAAGAAATGTAGTCGCCTTTCTTCGATTTTGGGGAGGAAGGTGGTATTTTGTGATTACGGATCGAATTAGGGTTAGGAAATGAGGAGAGAAGGAAGGAGATTTGAGGAGGAGATAAGGCAGCCATGACTGTTGAGTGAGTGAAATTTCGTGGGCCGCCGAGAAGAGTAAACGATGAACGCTACGGCTTCAGCGAAGAGGAAGGCGCTTAGGTAACGATGATCTTTTCGGCTTCTGCGGAGAGGAAAGCGTTATTAAGGCTGATTACGCTTAGGAGGTCAAAATTTGGTATATTTAGAATAGTTTAGGGTTAATTTGGGTAGGAGAAAGTTTTTTAGGAACTGGCTCTTTTAAAGGGTAGATAGATATTACATCATTAATTTTTTTTAAAAAAACTATATCTTAGAAACATTAGTGTATTTTTTAGAAAATTCAAATTTCAGGATATCAAACTTTAAAAAGATGAAACGCTGGGGTAGTTGAACACAGTTAACCCTTTTTTTTTAATAAATAATAAAATTTAAAATAAGTAAGTTTAATATCTATAGCCGCCGAAGTTTTAAATGGGTTGCCAAAGGGGCCTTCGGTCTCGCGAACCCTTCGGCTTGGGCCGATCCAGTCCCACCAGTAGCGACTGTGCAAACTATGTTTGGGCCTTAAAACATCAATAGGTCAGCCCATTATTTCCTTCTCACTCTCTCACTCTCTCTATCTCTCTCGATGTCTCTGGTCGATTCGCATACCCCGAATCCGCCGACCCACAAAGAAGGCCACCTCCACGCGGCCCACCTCAAAACCCCGCAGCTGTCTCGACCTCCTCGATCCGATCCGATCCCCACTCAAGACAGACCCAGGGACTTCGAGAACCCCCCACACCAAAACCCCATCCCAATTAATCTCGAATTTTCTCCCGCCCTCTCGCTCTCTCGAAGCCTAGCTCTATAAATTCCGTCCCCCACCGAAGTCTCACCACGAAATCACTAAACCCGCGAAGAAGAGAATCGACCGAGAGCGATCGAAGCTACCCCAAACTAACATGTCAGCCAAAGGTGGCAAAGCAGTAGCGCCCTAGACCTCCGCACCCATAACCCGCCCCAAGTACAGACTACGCCGCTGCGCGCGTCCTCGCAGACTGACCGCCACCGGGCTCGCACGATTCATGCCGCCAATGACCAGCCGGCAGCCGCACCACACTACCACCCACGTCTACGTCGCCTTCACCGGACACCGACGACTACATCCGCGACGCCGCAGAACGACCCCGACCTCGTCATGTCGCAATGAAGCCCGAAGCAACACCTGTCTCCGACGGCCAAGCGCTCATCGGCCGAAACGATTCTCACCCGACTCCCTCCGTCCAGGCCGACAGAGAGTCTGGCCCTTCAAGGTCGTGCCGAGCCACCACCCGGGAGAAAAGCCCCTCGGTCCGTAATCAGAGAGAGCAAACAACACTACCCAAGGTGAAGAGAGAAAGTGTCTTCGCCTGACACAGATCTCGTCGATCGGTCCTGACGAAGATGAGCGAGGCCCCTCCCCGACCCGACCCGACCGACACCGCCCGCTCTCCCTGGCAATACGGTGAAGCGCGTGATCACCGTTCCGGCGTACTTCACAACGACTCGCAGCGGCAGGCGACGAGGATGCCGGGTTGCCCGGGCTTAACGTGCTCCCCGCATCGCATCAATGACCCACGGCGGCCGCTTATAAGCCCTACGGGCTCCGAACAAGACAGGCCGCGCGCGGCCCGCGACGAGCAACGGCTATCTCGACCCGGGCGGGCATATTGCACGTCATCAGCCTGTTGACTATTGAAGAGGGGAATCTTTGAAGGTTAAATCACCAGCCACGGAAAAAGCAACCCCCGTACCACCCTTGGGGGAGGATTCGACCAACAGGCTCGTGACACTCGTGCGGAGTTCAGAAGGAAGCATAAGGAAGACATACAGCGGCAACGCGCAGCGCGCATGCGGAGCTGAGGACGGCGTGCGAGAGGGCGAAGAGGACGTTATCCTCGACCACGCAGACGACCGTCGAGATCGATTCTCTGTTCGAGGGGATCGATTTCTACTCGACGATCACCCGAGCGAGGTTCGAGGAGTTGTGCATGGATTTGTTCAGGAAGTGTATGGAGCCGGTGGAGAAATGCCTCAGGGACGCTAAGATCGACAAGAGCAGCGTGCATGAGATAGTACTAGTTGGGGGCTCGACCCGAATCCCCAAAGTGCAGCAATTGCTTCAAGATTTCTTCAACGGTAAAGAGCTCTGTAAAGCAATCAACCCCGACGAGGCTGTGGCCTATGGCGCAGCGGTGCAAGCGGCGATCCTCACCGGCGAAGGAGATCAGAAGGTACAAGATCTACTCCTCCTCGATGTAACTCCTCTTAGCCTCGGCATTGAGACCGCCGGCGGCGTCATGACTGTCTTAATCCCGAGAAACACGACGATTCCGACGAAGAAAGAGCAGATATTCTCGACTTACACCGATAACCAGCCCGGCGTCCTAATCCAGGTCTACGAAGGAGAGCGGCCGATGACCAAGGACAACAACTTACTTGGCAAATTTGAGCTTACCGGAATTCCTCCGGCGCCGAGAGGAGTCCCGCAGATCAACGTAACCTTCGACATTGACGCGAATGGGATTCTGAATGTCTCTGCAGAGGACAAGACTGCAGGGGTGAAGAACAAGATCACGATAACAAACGACAAGGGGAGGCTGAGCAAGGAGGAGATCGAGAAGATGGTGAAGGAGGCGGAGAAGTACAGGGCGGAGGATGAGGCGGTGAAGAAGAAGGTGGAAGCGAAGAATGCGCTGGAGAACTATGCGTACAACATGAGGAACACGATAAGGGACGACAAGGTGAAGGAGAAGATCGGGGCAGGGGATCGGGAGAGGATCGAGAAGGCGGTGGAGGAGGCGATCGGGTGGCTGGAGGGGAACCAGCTGGCGGAGGTGGAGGAGTTCGAGCACAAGCAGAAGGAGTTGGAGGAGGTCTGCGGGCCGTTAATCGCGAAGATGTATCAGGGTGGTAGAGGAGCGATAGGCAGGAGAACGGCGGTGGTGCAGGCGGCAGCGGCAGCGTGGTCCTGCGGCCTAAGATTGAGGAGGTTGATTGAGATTTTGGTTCGTTTTTAGGATGGTTTTGGGTCAAGTACTTGTTAGTCTTTTAGTTTGTGTTGGTCATGGCTGCTCTGGCTCTAGTTCATGAGTGAATAATGAATGTATAGTGTAGTAAGGAGTATTAGTAAATCAAAAATAGCTTTCGTTTTGTGTGTACGATGGTTGAATCATGAGAGGATCAAATTTTATGTATGTTTTCTGTGTTCTTCGGTTGTGTTGATTGCTGTTCCGTTACCATAATTAAACTCGGGTGATGATCTTATAGCCCTCGGACCACGGCCCTTCTGTCACGTAAACGAGGCTCCGCACTGAGCACATCACGCGTAACAGTGTTAGGTTGTTTCGCTGTGTCAGATCGTGAATGAGCGTATGATGTGTGTCATTAAATGAATGTAGTCGGTTAATACAACGGTTCCCATAATCAAGAGGCTTTTTTTATAGGGTTCTTATGGGCACTCTATAAGAGAGGAGAGAGATAGAGAGAGATGATTGGGGAGGGGATCCCAATACAAATCAGGTGGGCCCCCTCCTCAATCATCTCGCTCTATCTCTCTCCTCTCTTATAAAGTGTCCATGAACACTCTATAGAAAAACCCTTACTATTTAATTAATATATTACATGTCATGTTTATCATGAATTGTAATCGTCGTCACTTTTAGGATGAGCGATCTGAACAACACACACGTCTTGACTTCTCTGTGCCGATTCTCAGCAACCACAAAAGGAGGGGGGGGGGGGGGGGGCGACTTGCGATCGCGGGCCACTCTACAGCAGTCAGAGAGTTCAAAGAACAGCCATTTAAGCTACCACAAATCTCGATGGACTCCATTATTGTCTCTGTCATCGAGGTTAATTTCATCGTCTATTGATATAAGCGGTTGCTATTCTGTGCGGAACATTGCTGATTAGTATGTAAACTATATCCGAGTGTTTGGTCATAAATTTTTCATCATATCTCCATATGATCTCCACCACGTGCTCGTCAACAGTACCGAATATTGTCATAGGTGAGCTGTCCGAGCTTTCGTCCTCCCAAACCCCATTTTATAGCCTCAAATCTGCACAAATGGCGACGAACTCCCTACCGCTTCCCCTTATCAATTACACGCAATGGCGACTAACTCCCCGCTGCCTCACCTTGTTATCCTGCTGCTCATACTGAGCACGGCCGCCTCCGAGCCCGCAGGAGCCCAGATTCAAGGTCGGCTAATTGTTGAATGCTTATTTTCTTTTTAGTTTTTTTTGACAAAACTTGTTGTGTTATGTACGCCCCTTATAATGCATGGAGCAGGAGTGGTGGACCACAACGGAGGAGGAAGAGGAGGCGCCAGCGGTGGCCGCGGCC